AAAAAAAAAAAAGAAGACACTGTATATAGTAAAATGAGTTCTTGATTTTGATATTACATGTTTTCTTTCCCTTTGTGTCATTTAAGGACTTAAAAATGAGATACAATTAAATATGTGATAAGGTTTACAGAATATGGTCTAAAATTGTTAACACTCAAGTCTCAGTTTTATTTGTGGCTTGTGAAGGTAGGGTGGCCTGCCACTTTGTGGATTCTCTCTGATTGTCCTTAGCCTCCTTTTTGCCACCATGGTTAGTCCTGAATGACTGACTGGTGTGCCATTTCGGGAGGAAGTTGGGGCCTCTAGAAGGGATAGTGTATGAGATTCTGAGGGTATGAGAATAGATGAGAGTATTCTAAGCACTCTTAAATCAATTACAAGTACATTTTGGACCACATATCAATTTTTGAAGATGTGGAAAGGAGGTAGGGATAGAAGAGCCCTTTTAACATTTCAGAGAATTGATGGCTACAATCAAGTGCCTCAGTCTGTTAGTTCCTCGTCCAAGGTCATTTCTTTCTTTCTTTTTTTTTTGAGACAGTTTCAAGCTGTTGCCCTGGGTAGAATGCTGTGGCATCACAGCTCATAGGAACCTCCAACTCCTGGGCTTAAGTGAGTGTCCTGCCTCCGCCTCCCAAGTAGCTGGGACCACAGGCTCCCGCCACAACGCCTAGCTATTTGGTTGCATCAAACTAGCTGATAGGCAGTACACAAATTTGGCACTTAATACTTCTTAAAGCCTTACCTGATAAATTTCCAAGAACATACTTAGTATTTGCCAGGATTCCTAGAAGGGACTAAAGAGCATTATATAATTCTTCAATCATTTGGGGACTTTTTGGAATCACCATACTGCCTCAGAATCCCCACTTAATGATCACAGATGAAAACATTATTTCACTTTAGTCTTTATTCCATTTGACTAATAAAATTACTTGAATTTTTTCTGACCTTACCTGCATAATTTAGGAATGGACAGAGGTATGGAATACAAGCTTGTACTTATTCAGATACTGTTACGACCAGGTACTTTTCCCTGAACAATCAGCATATCCTGGTAAACATCTGCCCAGGAAAAATCCTATCAGCTAGACTTCAGGAAGGTTAAGTGCTAATTGATAACAAAGTTATTTAAAAAAAAAAAAACATAGAAATTTAAGGGAAGCTATGCTATCTGTTCCATTGTGACTTATTGCCTGTGCCACTTTATAGGGTTAATTATCTTTATGAAAATGCTTTGTCACAACTATATTTTTTTTAAAAAGCACTCCAACAGCAGTATCTTGCATCTCTGTAAGCCCTTGGCGTAGCACAAGTATCTTGACTGTAGTAGACACTTAATAAATATTTGTAGTTGATGATGGTGGTGGAAGCAACAAAATTAAGTACATTCAGTGAGGGAATGCATGAAAATTGGAAGTAACTAATGAATATTGGAACTAGGATATCTGGAGTTTAGGGTGATTAGGGGAAAAGGATGGAGGCAAATAACACGATCAAGAAGAAGACACTGGGCTCGGCACCTATAGCTCAACCGGCTAAGGTGCCAGCCACGTACGCCTAAGGTGGCGGGTTCGAATCCCCAGCCCGGACCCGCCAAACAACAATGAC